TGCTGGCTGCCAGCCTGATGCAGAAGATGGCCCCACACTGCTCCTTCGCTCGCTGGCTGCTCTGCAACGGCAGGTAAGGGTCACCTGTCCCTCCCTGCTCGTCCCTGGGGGTCTGAGGGACACCTGGTGCCGCTGACACCCACTGCTCCTTGCAGCCTGTACCGGTACAAACATCCCTCCAATGAGGAGCTCTGTGCCCTGGCTGGAAAGCAGCGACCCAAGACCAAGAGGGACAGGTCAGTTTGGCTCCTATCTGTGGCTCCAGTGGCTGGAGGGGCTGGAAATGCTCAATACTTGGGGTTGGGGATAATGGGAGTCCTCCCAGTCAGTGTGCTGGGGGCTCCCCCAGGGAGGTGCAGCAGCAGAGAGGTTTGAGGCACCTCATGTGACACAGGGGACAAAGCAGCTCCTTGCCCAGCCTGAGTTTCCCTTGCAGGAGGATGAATGGTGTGATGGAGGACAAACCCCTCTCTGTGCCTCGGGACATTGACCTCCACTTGGACACCAGTCCCATCACCGCAGTGGATGCCCTTGGTAACCCCTCAGCTCCCTCTGCTCCCTCTGCACTCAGGACCCTGCACTGCTCCTGACTCAGTGTCCCCATCACATGTCCCTCTGTGCCACCAGTGCTGCGATATTTCCTGGAATACCAATGGTTTGTGGATTTTGCTGTCTATTCCACTGCTGTGTACATCTTCACCGAGGTCTACTACTGCCTGGCTGACCCCCAGAAGGAGACCAACATGGGGGTGCTCTGGTGTCTGCTGACCGTTGTCTTCTCCATGTATCCTGCTGATTGTGGGGGTGATTGCCACCACCTGCCAGGTCAGGGCTGCAGGAGAGGGAACCCACTATCCCTATTTTCCCCCCATTAAAATCCAGTTGAGGTGGAGAACTGAAACGTATGGATGATGAGCTGTGAAGGTGCCCGAGGAGACCTTCCCTGCAGAGAAGGTGACAGTGGCCTAATGATGGAGATGCTTTCCATGGGCAGAGGGTCCCACTGGTGTTGGGGGGTCCCCTAAACCACCACCCCCAGTTTCCTTGACAGCCACAGCAAGGTGTTCTTCATGGTGATGCGCCACTACTTCCGCTCAGAGGAGGGAGGTGAGCGCTCTGTCTGCCTCACCTTCGCCTTCTTCTTCCTTCTCCTCGCCATGGTGGCCTTGGTCATCCGGGAGGACTACCTGGAATTCGGCCTGGAGCCTGGTGGGTGAGGGGGACAGGGAGAGGCAGGTGGGGAGGGCATCCCTGGGCACCCCAGTCACAGGGCTCCCTCCCCACAGGGCTGGCTGGAGTCAGCAGCAACCTGGAGAACCTCCTGAAGCAGCAGGGCTGGGAGTGGACGTGAGTTGGTAACTGGGCATGGAGCAAAGTGGGATTTTTGGGAGGTTTTCTGGAGGTCTGGAGTGGGAATCCCTCCAGGTCTCAGCAGGGATGGTGGCAATGCATCCTCCCCGCATTCCCTCCTCTTTCCACAGGGTTCCTCTGGCCAAGTTGGGCTTCAAGCTGGGGCTGGTGGCTCTGTGCTCCTTCCTGGGGGCCTGCCTGACCTTCCCCGGGCTGCGCCTGGCCCAGACCCACCTCGACGCTCTCCGCATGGCAGCTGACAAGCCCCTGACCCAGTTGGGTGAAATCTGGGGTGGGGATGGAGGGAGGGAGTTGGTTCTTGCACTTTGAGGGTTGGGACTCCTCCAGTGCTGTGGCTGCAGGGTGCTGAGGAGGTTTGGTGGTGGGAAGGGTTGGGTGAGGAGTGGATGGGATGGGGGAAGTGGAGGCAGCAGGTGTATGGAAATCTCTGAGGGCTCCTCCACAGGGTCCTGCTCCATGTGAGTTTCCTGGCTCCTGTCCTCGTGGTGGTGATGTGGATCAAGCCCATCTCCAGGGATTTCCTCCTCAATGCACCCATGGGCAAGCAGACCGTGCAGATGTAAGTGGGACACTGGCAGCAGGTCCAGCTTTGGGCCCCAACATCCTTACTCTGTGAGTCCCTGAACACTACAACAAATTGCCCAGGGGAGGTCATGGAACTCTCCCTCACTGGAGATGCTCAAGGACCACTCAATCCTGTGCCATGTGCAGGGAGGTGGGACCCATTGTGGCCCCTTCCAGCCTGACCCATCCTGTGATTGATTCTGTGGCTGAGTGTCCCCACCACCTCTCCCCCTGGGGCACAGAGGGGCTCTGAGGTGGCTCTGAGAGCTCTCTCCTCTCCCCCAGCCTGTCAGACTCTGCCTACAACAGCACGAGGCTCTGGGCCATCGTTGGGCTGTGCCTGCTGCGCCTGGCAGTGACCCGAAGGCACCTGCAGGCTTACCTGGGCCTGGCTGAGCGCTGGGTGGAGCAGATGAGGAAGGAAGCTGGACGTATCCCTGCCCTGGAGATCCAGCAAAAGGTCTGAGAGTGGGAGCTGGGAGGGGAGAAGGGATGTGGGGACAGCCCCCAGGCTGATGGATCCTCACTGCCCACAGGTCACCAGGATTTACTGCTACGTGGCCGTGGTCAGCCTGCAGTACCTGGGGCCTGTCATCCTCACCTTGCACTGCACACTGCTGCTGAAGACACTAGGTAAGGAGGTAGTGGGGGTGTAAGGGGGATGGGTGGGCTCAGGAGGGGCAGAATGAGAGCTGAAAGTCATCAGGAAGCTACCAGCACCCTGATTATCCCCAGGCATAGACACTTCAGAGCTGAATACAACTCCCTCACGAGGGGCAGAACTGATCTCTGCTCTCTGGGAGCAGTGACAGCACTCGAGGGAAGAGCTGGAGCTGTGTCAGGGACATTAAGGTTGGGTATCAGGACAAGGTTCTTCCCCCAGAGGTGTTTGGGCACTGAAGAGCTCCCAGGGCAGTGGGCACAGCCCCAAGGCTGACAGAGCTCCAGGAGTGTTTGGTCAGTGCTGTCAAGCACAGGGTGCATTGCTGGGGAGTCTGTGCAGGGCCAAGAGTTGGACTGATGACCCTCAGAGTCCCTCCCAAGTCAGGATACTCCATGATTTCATTCTCTGACTCTCCATGGTTTGCAGCTGCACAAACCCAGTGCCTGCAGTGAGTGTGTTGGGACTCAGCCACCAGCACAGTTGTAATGTGGGAATGGGGCTGGAAGGAACTGACCTGTCCCCTCTGTCCCACAGGGCACCACTCCTGGGGGCTGTACCCAGAGCCCTCTCCCCTGGCTCCAGCAGTGACAGCACCACCACCACATCCCCACAGCGAGGATGGGGAGGACGTGCAAGTCGTGGTGGAGCAGATCACAGGCATCTTGGACTGCATCTTCACCCCTCCCTTCCTCAGGGGACTCTTTGCCTTCCTCACCTGGTGGGTGTCTGCCTGCCAGGTCGTCACCAGCCTCTTCGGCCTCTACTTCCACCAGTACCTGGCAGCATCCTGACTGGGGGAGCTGGGATTGCCTTGGTGTGCAGGCAGTGCCTGCCTGATGCTCCTCTTGCTCCTGCCTTGGCTGGTTTCCCCCTTTGCACTTGCTGGTGGCACCTGTGGACACCCGTGGGGATATTTGTGCCACCAGCTCTCAGCAGGACAGGTTTGTGTCCTGGTCAGTGTGGGCATCACCTACTTCTGCTGCCCATCACCACTGTGCCTGCTCTCACCCTGGGCTGTCCCTCCAGCCCCTCTGCCCCTTCCTGACCTGACACAGGGACACTCCAGTGCTGTGTTTCCCTCAAGGACAATGGGTTTTGCCAGCCCAGGACACTGGAACATCCCCTTGGCGTGGTGGAGACCTCACCATGGGGTTGGAGTGGCACCTTGGCTTGCCAGCACAGACTTTGGGGCTATGCTCTGCCTAGTGTTTGCCTCCACCAGCTGAGGGGTTGCTGTGGGGTTGCTGCTCTGCCCAGCTGGGTTGGCATCATCCCTGTGCTTTGTGTGAATGCTCAGCCCCAGCAGTTTGGCTGTTGGCTGCTGTAGAAATAAAGAAGTAGCCCAGAGTTGTTGCCATCCAAAACCTGCTGCTTGGTTTGCAGTTTATGTCCCCAAAGCCCCTTGAGCAGGGCAGGAGGGTCCCACAGCTGCTTCTGGGCATCACACTCGAGGAGGAGACCCCAACTCACCCCTTACAGCCCAACTTGGGCCTCTCCCTGACCCTGGGATCACACCCTGATGGGGGTGAGGAGGGGACAGGGTACAACAGCCCCATGTCCATCAGTTGAGCTCTTCCCCACCGCCTGGTGGGTGCTGGTCCAGCTGCATGAAACAGGATTAGCAGGTCTGGGCTGCTCAGAGAAAGGGAGAGGGGCTCTGATCCTATTTGATAGCCTTGTAATGGTCTTAATTCCCTCTTGCTAAGGGCTGGGAGGAGGCAGCAACCCTTTGCCCGGTGTTAACTGGGCTAATCCACTCAGCTCCTCCTGCTTCCAGAGAACCCAAGCTGTGGCCAGAGTAAAACTACAAAAAATACGGGGAAAATACCCACTTTCCAAACAATTTGGAAAACCAGAGCCCAGCACAGCATCAAGAACCACCACGAGGCTAGAATTTGGTGCCCGTGGGTGGAAAGGGGTGAGGAAGGAGCAATTCCCTGAGGGTTTGGATGCAGAGGGACTCGGCCCAGGCTGTGCTGCCCCATTAAAAGCCATCGGGGCTGCCTTGATGGCTCATTTATCTAATTTTCCTGCCGGCTGAGGAGGAGGAAGCCGCCGGGGGCTGTGCTGGCAGGAGGGCGGTTGCTAGGGCTGGGGTTGTGCTGCAGTCAGACACGCAGACAGTTCCTCCCCTGAGAGGTGCCCAGACGTGACCCTCTCAGGCAGGGACAATGACTGATAGACTAGCCAAGAGCAGCAGACAGATCCACAGGCCCTGAAATTGGGCCACATCAAATAAAGTGAGTGAGGCTCCACATCTTCCTCTGCCCCACAATTGGTCCTACCCTTTGTGTCGTGGCTTTCTGCACAGGATGGGACAGGCTGAGCTCGGCCAGGGCCCTGGAAGGGCTCACAGGAGGTGGAGCAGGAGGTTGTGTTGCTGCAGAGGATCCAGTGTGACATCTCTGCATCACCTCTGCTCTCTGGGGCACTGCCACCTGAGCCAGGGCTGGGGCAGCTCCTGGAGCTCTTCCTTCATCCCTGGCAGGGAGAGAAACAGTGAGCTCTGCTTTTCCACCACCCTTCCATCCAAAATGAGATTCCCTCACCATCCTGCAGAGCTGTTCCTACTTGGAGCAGCTCTCCCTGTGGCTGGCAGCCCACAGCAATCCAGGGGGATGCTTCCCACACCCAGGGAGCCAAAGGAAAGGATGGTACCCTCACCTGACAGGGCTGGAAACACCCAGAGCAGGAGGTGCACAGGGACCAGCTCTGCCACAGGTTTCCTGCAAGATTTAGTGCAAGTCTCACCCTCTGGGTCTCCATTTCCCTTGAGATCCAACTAGAGCATCACAGGGAGCAGCAACAGGATACAGGAGGTACCTGTGGGAGGGCTGGACCTGTCCTCACTGCCGTGCCCATCCCACCTGGCACAGCACCGAGTGACACAGCCACACGGGGCCTGGAATGCAGCTGAAAGCTCCAAACCCAGAGCAGCTGGGGGTTCCCAGCTTGGGGGAAGCACCAGGACATGCCTGAGCCGACAGTGCCACCTGCTGCCACCACATACCCAGCCCTGTCCCACCCGGCTGGGGACAGGGACAGAGCCTTCCCACAGCTCCTTTCCATCCCTCAGGCTTTTCCTCACTCCCACCCAAAGCCCAACACACTGAGCCATAGGATGCTCCGTGCACAGGAGACCTGTGTGGCCAAGGATGCCCCAAAGAGCCTCTCAACAAACCCACCCACGTGTGTCTGTCTCTCTCCCAAGCAACCCAGGAGAGAGGAAGGCTTCAAAAAGAGCCTGAAAAGTCATCATTATGTTTTTTATTAAATATACATCCTCTCTTGGCACAAATCTTAAAATATATAAACATTATATAACAAAGTGTCTTCACTGCAATAAAATAGAACTCCAGATCCAAGAAAAGCAGTCAAAATCAACACACTCACACACTCACTCACACTCACTCGCTGATGGTGAGGACACATCTCCACAAAAGGCATTTAACAGTGTTTGTGCTAATATATGCATAGACCACACAGGCAGTGAACAGTGCTGGGAAACCCTGCAGTGCATGGCATTGGGGGGAGATGGGGAGAAGGGGAGGAATCAGCTCCTACAATCTACACAAAGGCTGTTTCGTAGGAAGGCCACGTCCTCCCCTGGCCCAGTCCTGGTGGGGAGGGTCCACAACATCTCCTGACTCTCTGCAGAGCCCCCAAACTCAGTCAGGTGCTTGAGGAGCACCTGAAGAACCCAGTCAGGTACTTGGGGAGCACCTGCAGAGCCCCAAAAAACCTGGTCAGGTACTTGGGAAACACCTGCAGAGCCCCCAAACCCAGTTAGGTGCTTGGGGAGCACCTGCAGAGCCCCCAAACCCAGTCAGGTGCTTGGGGAGCACCTGCAGATCCCCAGAAAACCTGGTCAGGTTACTTGGGAAACATCTGCAAAGCCCCAAAATCCAGTCAGGTGCTTGGGGAGCACCCCCAGAGCCCAAGGACCCAGTGAGGCCCTGGGAGAATTCCATGGGAAGATTCCCACCACATTCCCTGCCTACCCAGTCAGTGAGGCCCTGGGAGAATTCCATAGGAAGATTCCCACCACATTCCCTGCCTACCCAGGACTTGCACCAGACTCTCAGGGTTGCCACAGTGTTTCTGCTCAAAGTTTCCTTTCATGCCTCAACAGCTTTAGGGTTGAAGACACCAGAGGGGTGAGGATGAAGATGAGTCCTTCCAGGTGGAAGGCAAGAAAAAGTACCACTGGTTTTCCACAGAAGTTCTGGAAGTGCTTTTGGAGAGTTTCCACACTGCCCACCCTGTGGCTTTCAGTGCCTTGGGATGCTGTGACTTCTCTCCTGATCCTTCCACCACCTGTCAGCTCAGATCCCATCTCAGATCCCACCTCCCACATCCTCCAGTGACCCTCTGAGCTTCCCAGAAGGATAAGCCCTTCCCCAAGCCACCTACCAGCCACTTCCCCAGAGCACACGGACAGTGAGGAGGTACCAAAGGAGGGAACAAGAGGCAGCAGCATCTCAGCTGGTGAAGGAAGGTGCTGGGAGAAGGTGCTAAACTGGCCAAGCAGATCAAGAACCTTCCAAAAAAACCCATCACTCAGTGCCTGGAACTCCTCATCCACACACATGAGCATGCAAGGCCTGTGAGGGGGGAGAGGTTGGGCTGTTTGGGCATCATGAAAAGCTGCAATTTTGTCATTTTGGATGCCTTTATTGGACCTGATTTTCTTGAAGTGCTAGTGCAGGGGCTCAAGGTGCAGAAGCAGAGGGAGGGGAGGGAACGGAGAAGGGAGAGAGGGAGACAGACAAGGGGAAAAAAAAGCACAGCTTCATGTTTGGCTGTAACACATTAAGGAACCACGAGAAATGTGACTTGGAAATCAAAGCAACGGGAGAAGAATTAAATGAAACTTGGGGAACTGCAGTAAGGAAGTTCTAAGGGAAAGGAGTGAAGAGAATATTCCTGTTCAACTTGTCTCCTCTCTCAGAGCTAAAGGCAAAGGACCTTCCTGGCCAGCACACAGGTGTCCTCCCTTCCCAAACCATGTCTCAGGAACTCATTCCAGGCAGCACACACCTCTGGAACATGTCTCAATTCATGCAAGCAATAAGAGAAGGGAAGAGAACACTCTGTCTCTCCTTTCCTACATTCAAATCAGAGGAGGGGGGGGGGGAAGCTATTTAAAACAACCCAAAGCAGTTAACACGCAGTTACTCTGGACAATTCTTGCCCAAGAAACAAAAAGCACCAAAACCATCACAGACTGAATTCCAAGACCTGTCTCTGAACATACACTCAGTCTGCAAAGCTGGGAAAACCAGGTTGGGCTGAGAGTCCATTGAATTCCAATCAGATGCAGCTGCTAATTAAGGAACAATAGCTCTGAGGCCAATGTCTCCAAGCCTGGCCATGGCTGGGTGTCAGCTGAGAGTCCCTGGGCTCTAGGTGAGCACCTTTCAGCACCACTCATCAAAAACAATCAGTCATCCAGTGTAAATCCTTTCCCAGTCAACACCCAGGAGGGCTGAGACCACTGCTGTGGCCTCAGGGGTTCAGTGATGCTCAGGAGCAGCAGAGCTGCCTCTGAGCTGACCTACAGTGCCTGTGGAGCAAAGGAGCAACAGTCCAGTTTCTCTTCATCCTCACCCAGTACCTTTGCTGTGCAGAAAGGAGTGAGCTGTGAACAAGGAGCCTCCAAGCTGGGAAGGAGCTTGGCATGAATTGGGGAACCACACACAGACACACACACAGAGTCACCTGCTGACACACCTGGTCTGTACTTCTGCAACTGCTGTAGGATGTCCTCACTGGGCTGGACAAGACAAGAGCAGGAAAATTGGCTTCTCCATTGGAGAAAAGAAATCAGAGCTCTTGCAAGGACTAAACAACACCTCACCCAAAGGAAGGGAAGAGCTGATCATCTTCTGTTAGCAATGAGAGCTAAAATGTATAGAGTTCATGGCTAGAGTGTCTAGGGACTCCTAAAACATCTCCTAACTGCTGCATAGCTACAACAAATCCGGGCCCACAGCCAAGGGGCACAACAGAAATCAGCTGTGGGCTTGGAGACAGAAGTTAGTGAGGTTACACCCTGCCCAGGAAAGTCTGATCCATCCCAGTTCTGGGAACAACAGGCTAATATCTCAGTGCTCTCTGCCATGTCCACCACGTGGAAGTGTAGGTGCTCAATTCCTAGGGAAATATTTGGCATTAGAAGCAAGTTCTGCTCCAAGGAACAAGTGCAAAGACCAAAGAAAGGAGAAGGCTACTCCTGCCAACTGTGCAATTACCTCCATTCCCATGAACCCACCACACAAAGCTCAAACTACAACACCTAAAGCACAAACACCAGGAAAGGACAGATTTTAAGGGATACTTCATTTTGCTTTTACCCATTATAATGGCTGGAAAGGGATTTTTAATTTTAGTTTCTGTCATCTGTTGCTCAGAGAAGCCCAAAGTTTGCTGTGACCTCTCCTGCACTCCAAATTTAATAGAGGAATGGAGTATCAAACAACTCCATCCCCAAATCTCCATTTCCCGGAAAAGTGACTTGAAATAGAAACAACTCCAAGGTTCTTTACCTTTCTAACCACAACTGGAAGTGATTGGCACTACAGATCATCTCTGAAGGGTCAACACTGACTGTGCTGCTCATAATCCCAAGGACCAGCTTGGTCCAGAAGAACTTCAGGAGTTAAAAAAGCAAGTGGGATGAGGTGTGGACTAACGAATGAAGGCAACAGGACCTACACAGCAGGTACCAAAGGACAACAAGGCTGTTCAGAAGCAGAGCCAGGAGCTGGAGTCAGCCCTAGGCTGTACCCACCACCCAGGGACAGCTTTTGGGGACAGCAAAGCCTGCAGCACACGTGCATCTTCCAGGGATTTGTTCTCACATGGTGCACAAAGCAGCAACAATAATACTGTAGGATAAAACTGGTTCATTCTGAAGGATGTAACACTTCCTTTTCCTAGTGCAGCAACACCACAGTCTGCCAAACCCCTTGGAAAATGCTGACCATGACAACACAGAAGGGCTTGGGTAGCCCAAGAGCACGAGTGCAGCTTGAGTCAATCCAGTTTGGGAATCCAGGCACAGCCCTTGACAACACTGACAACACACAGGAGAATTTGACTCACAAAACGGCTCAGAACTTCCCTCCCTGCTCTCCACAGTCTTTGGTAATCTCAGAGGGACACCACAAACAAGGGAGACTGATGCAACTCAACCCCAAAAGGAGAGAAATTATTGAGAAAGGGCAGCATTTCAAGCCAGAGAAACATTCAGCTTGCAGAACAGATGTCCTGGACCTGTTCAATCCTGCCCTGTCCTGTTTAGTGGAGACCCACACAGGTCAGAGGAACGCGGAATTCCCTACAGAGCAACTGGAATATTGCACTTGGCAGATTGCCTCCAGCTAACACGTGTTCAGTGACTCCAAACTGCCTGCCAGGAGCAGCAGCCAGTTCCCAGATCCAGGGCTGCATTCCAACAGTCCTCTCCCTGCTCAGCCACCACTCAGTGCCCACAACCAGGTGAGGAGCCAAGCAACAGCACAGTTGGTTGGAGAGGCTCCACTCCTGCCAGCACAGTCAGTCACAAGGGTCAGGCAGCTACTTGAGAGGACTCAGTTCTGCAGGACCACAAGAGATTTGTTTAGGGAAGAGTTAGCTTCAGGTTGAGGTTTCCAAACAACTCAGAGGCTCATTAAAAAAAAAAAAGGGGGGGAAAAGGAATCCAACCACAAGAGAAAACCCAAAACGAGACAGGTGAGTTCTCAGCTGCAGCAGAGCACGCATGAGGTGAGGGAACACTAGCATTGCTCTTTCTACACGGTTTGTACTCTTCCCTGCCAAGGGCTGTGGGGATTAAGCTACTACCTCTCCACACTAGTGCTGTGCTGTAATTTACGGAGAAGGATCTGCGTCAGGTCAAAGGTTGTGAAGCTTATTCCCACTGCGATGGGACCTTTGACCCAGTTCATGCTGAGTCCTTTGTACAAGCCACGGATCAGTCCCTCTTCCCTGATGATCTCCTGCATGGTGAGGAGGATGGAGCTGTAGGTGTGGCCCATGACTCCTGCTGTCTGCATGCGGCGCCGAACCACGTCCAGGGGGTATGAGGCCGACTGACCGATCAGCCCAGCGCAGGCCCCGAACAGCAGCCGCTCCGGGGGGGATGGCTGAGACTTCCCACTGTGGTCTGGGAGACACAAAGGAGCAGAGTGTACACAGCTGCTGGGAATAAACACCAGCAAGGGGATCAGGCTGGCAGGGTGTGCTGGCTGCAGGCTGAGGGAGACAAGAGGGCACAGACTCAAGCTCTGCCAGGGGAGGGTTAGGTTGGATATCAGAAAGATTTTTTTTACACAGAGAGTAGTCAGGCATTGGAATGTGCTCCCCAGGGAGGTGGTGGATTCACCATCCCTGGAGGTTTTCAGGGTGAGACTGGATGTGGCACTTAGTCTAGTGACCATGGTAGAGCTGGACTTGATCTTTGAGGTCTTTTCCAACCAGGTTGATTCTATGATTCTTCCCCCCTGTTCTGCTCCCAGCTGGAGTACTGCACATAGCTCTGGGGGCACCAACAGGAGGGCATGGAGCTGTTGGAGAGAGCCTAGAGGAGGCCAGGAAGCTGCTAAGAGGATTGGAGCACCTTCCCTACAGAGACAACCTGAGAAAGTTGGGGCTGTTCAGCCTGGAGAGGAGAAGTTTGTGTGGAGACCTCACAGCAACCTAAGGGGATCCAGGGAAGCTGCAGAGGGACTTGGTTAGGAGCTGCAGTGACAGGACAAGGAATAATGGGGAGAAAATGCAAGAGGGAATTCTAGATTGGATATTAGGAACTTTTTCCCTGTGAGGGTGGTGAGACACTGGCCCAGGTTGCCCAGGGAGGCTGTGGCTGCCCCAACCTTGGCAGAGTTCATTGCAGGTTGGATAAGCCTTGAGCAACCTGCTCTGGTGGGAGGTGTCTGGCACTGGGTGATCTCTAAACTCCATTCCAACCCTTCAGCATACTATGATACTATGACAAGTGGGCAGAGAGCCAGAGGGAACACTGAGTGCCAGAGCTCCTGGGACAGTGTTCCCAAACTGCTGTGTGACCAACTCCTGCACACCCAGGACTTGCACCTTCTTGTTCCTCTGCAAGACAGGCACAACTTTCCTGCAGTTTTCTTTCTTCACAGCCTGGAAGTGGAGAGATTCCCAAGGCTCCACAAGCACAGAGCTTTGCAGTTGGCTCCAAGGCCAGGAAAAAGCTTTGTCACCCTCAACTCAACCACCTTAGGTTGGCCCAAAGCCTTCACCATTTCACCTGAAATCAAACCTTTACCTGAATGCACTTTCTTCAGTGTCTCATAGGTGAAGAAGCTAAGCCCAGCATATGGAATCACTCCAAGGATGGTTGGTGTAAATCCCCTGTACAAGGTCTTCAATCCTTCCTCCCGGGATATCCGGATGAAGACATGGACAATGCTGCTGTACCTGGTGTGTGGACACAGGAAATCTGTGCTGGTTAGTGCCTGCACACACCACTAATACTTTCAGCA